ATATGCTTGACATAATTAATAAAAATTGCGATTTTTACTCCCTGGAGCAAATTTAAAAAAAAAACCTATTTACAAAAAACAGTATAACATGGTTAGTATGATGGTTAATATGGAGTACGTCTCCCGGACGATGCAATACAGGCCTTACAACGTCTAGGCATGCTGAGTATCAAATTATCAATCTGATCTTAGGGAATATTACACCACTCATCAAGCAATGCCTTCCGAGGTTCTGGTTGACAGGTGGGAGGGGGTTGACGGGCTGCAATTCGGCGGACAAGCATATCCCACACATGCTCTATTGGATTCAAGTCCGGTGAGTGTGCTGGCCAAACCATACGGGTGATATCCTCCAATTGAAGGCATTCGTCTACAATGTTTGCACGGTGAGGACGGGCGTTGTCATCCATAAACAGAAATTCAGCACCCATGGCGCCCCGAAACAAGCGTACATGTTGTTCCAGAATGACATCCCGATAGATGTGGCCTGTCATCGTTACACTCTGAACATGCAGGTCAGTTCTGGAACCAAGAATAATTCCTCCCCAAACGAGCCATCCTGCACCACCGGAACGGTGTCGTTCAATGGTGTTCTCTTGGTGGTAACGGGTACCTGGCGCTTTCCATATGAAAGTCCGGCGAGAATCTGACTGCAAACTAAACCTGGACTCGTCGGAAAACATCACACCAGACCACTGTTGCGGTGTCCACAATGCATGCTCTCTACTCCAGGTTAATCGCAGGCGACAGTGAGTTGCTTTAAGTGGAACACATCTGACAGGCCTACGAGCATATAGACCAATGTGCCCTAAGCTTCTGTACACGGTCTGCCTTGAAACTGTCGTACCGGTAGCTGAAGAGAGCTGACGAGGCAGGTCTGATGCTGTGCTCCGTCTGTTTCTTTTGGCAGTAACTGCTAAATACCGATCCTCATTCACCGTTGTAACTCGGGGGCGACCTGTGCTGTAACATGTCCTCACATTACCATCTTCTTGGACACGTTGCCAAAGCCTGGAGATGACACTCTGGGCGATTCCAAGTTCCTCGGATACTTCCAGCTGGGTACGTCTACATTCCAGTCGTCCGATAATTCTACCACGTAAAAAATCATCCAAATGCTTCCTTTGTGCCATAACTATGCGGTTATTACACTGAAAGGCTTTTAAAGCGCTTGTGAACAACTTTACTTCTTTGCCACCCTTCCTTATATACCTCTCTCTTACACTCTCGTCATTGTGACGTACTATCCGCGCCATCTGTGGTTTTCTATAATTTGCATATTCTTCTTCAACATATGTGTGATAATTCTACAGGTGAAATTTTTATTTTAGAGTCAATTTTTTTGTGATTCTGAATTATCCTTAATTTATGGACATGTGTGTATGTTGTCATTTCTATTCAAAATATCACTGGCAGCCGAATTCACTTTCTTTAATGCCGCTTACAACGTCATCTATGAATACACTTTGGAACTTTTTTTGATGCCGTACCAATTTCCTCCCTTCAGCAATTTCCTTTTTTGTTACAGCATTTTGAAAATAGAAATTTAATTATAATCACCTTGAATACTTTGTTAGGAAGATCTCAAACATAACCACTATAGGCAAATGTTGACAATATTCGGGTTAAGTTACAGTGTGTTTTGTTAGCATGCTTTTTAATACGAAAGTGCATTAAAAATGATTAGTTGGATATAACTGTATTCAGAAATAAAGGATGATTTAAAATCTTTAGTCTTTTAAATTTGATAAATACTCCAGACAATGTAATATTCCGGATATCTTATATGAAACATTTATTTCGTGTTATGATGTCAAAGTAAATATAAATGAGGAAGCAGTTTTAAATTATAAACAACAATTTGCAGGAAGGCAAGTTTTTAAGCAAATGAATTACAAGTTTTGTTGCGCGTTATTAGTTGTATTTAAAAGTATTATTAACAGTGGTAATTTAAAACGGCCCTCATAATTTGTTGTTGACATCGTTCTTCAGACTTATATAATATTTTTAAAGTTTTTTAGCCATAAATACGAAGTATATTTTTAGTGGTCATAAATCTAAAATATTTATTAGAACAAATAATTTCTGAAAAGTTGAATTTTATACTTTTGATTACAGAAATTCTACGCAACTGTATAACTAATGCAGAAATTTTAACTAAACATTGTTTATGTGTTTCAACTAATATTTTTTATTAATATTGATTTATACGTTATACAAAATTAATTAATTAATTAATTAATTATAATTAATTAATTAATTAATCAATTAATTTGTGAATTAGTTAGTGAAATAATTTAATTATGCATTAATATGTATTTTTTTACTATATTAACTATGAGAAGTTTCTTAGATTAAGTATTTAATGTTTGGAATATTGATTATTTGGCATTTAGATATTAATGATTATATACAAAATTAATAAAAAAGGATAATATACCAATGATTAGTTTAGTGTTTCATTAGAAATATTCTATCATTCATCAAGCTAAAATTTTTTGGATATCAAAAATTTTTTCACTAAAACTAACTTTTCATGTTATAAAAAGAAGTGTCTTATTCAAACGTATAAGCCAGTGTCTTATTCAAACGTATAAGCCAGTGTCTTATTCAAACGTATAAGCCAGTGTCTTATTCAAACGTATAAGCCAGTGTCTTATTCAAACGTAAAAATCAGTATTCATTCAGACGTATAAATCAGTATTCCTTCAAACGTATAAACCAGTATTTTATTCTAACGTATAAATCAGCATATTATTCAAACGTAAAACTCAGTATTTTATTCGAACGTATAAATCAGCATTTTATTCGAACGTATAAACCAATATTTTATTCAAACGTATAAACTAGTCTTATTCGACGCATAAATCAATATTTCACTCAAACGAATAAATCAATATTTTATTCAAATAACCTATAAATTAGTATTTTATTCAAACCTATAAACCAATGTCTTAATCAAACGCATAAATCGGCATATTATTCAAACGTATAAATCAGCGTTTTATTCGACAGTATATATCAACATATTATTCAAACATATAAATCAGTATTTTATTCTAACGTATAAATCAATATTTTATTCAAACGTATAAATTAATATTTTATTCAAATGCATAAACCAGTATTTGATTGGAACGTAAAAATCAATATTCATTCAAGCTTATAAACCGGAGTTTCATTCAAACGTATAAATCAATATTCATTCAAGCTTATAAACCAGAGTTTTATTCAAACGTATAAATCAATATTTTATTCAAACGTATAAATCAATATTTTATTCAAATATATAAATCAATATTTTATTCAAATATATAAATCAATATTTTATTCAAACATATAAACTAGTGTCTTATTCAAGCATATAAACTAGTGCCTTATTCAAACGTATGAACTAGTATTTTATTCAAACGTATAAACCAGTGTCTCATTCAAGCGTATAAACCAGTATTTTATTCGAACATAAAAATCAATATTCATTTAAACTTATAAACCAGTATTTTATTCAAAAGTACCTTCTATAAAAATATATCTAAACAAATATTTGAATGCCAAAGGAAGGATCAAAATTTTGTTCTTTTATGTTTATGAAATAACGAAGTTTAAATAAATATTTACTAAACTTTATGATACAGTGTTCCTTAATTGCTAGTTGGGTACCAACAAAGACGGGGAAAAAATGGCAAGTTTACATGTCAGCGTCATTCAAATCTTTCTTTTCTGGGAAAAACCATTAACAGTCAATCCTTTAATTATTTGCGATTATCAGACAAGTTGGTAAAAACTACGTCATTCTAAAAAAATGACACTAATTCTTTTTGACGGTGAGATAAAATAATAATAATAATAATACATCAAACCTCGTTTCTTTATTTTTATAAAATTATTTTAGCATTTAAGAGTATAGTTTTTTTTCTAATTATGCAAGTATTTTTCAGTGCAATGTTTTTATTTGGTAATTATAGTGTTTGTCACCGTCATGTATGAAAGGCTTGAGGCAACGCTATAACGAGTCTCAAGATGGCTCGAAATCTTTTTTGAATTTTATGGAAAAAAAAACACCTCCTCACATGTATCATTAGTTTATCATCAATGTTTATTTAAACATTATCTTTTTAATCAAAAAGTTTTGAGTGATTAATTATTTTTTAAATTCCTATAAAAATTGCGAATAAATCGTGTTATTTAAAATTTAAAAGAGCGATTCATTAATATACTTAAATGTATATATATACTTAAATAGATTAATGTGCATATATGCATGTATGCATGTATGTTTAGTGTAGCCTGTATGTCATTTATGTATAGTATGTACTAATTTTTGTTTCAATTTGTTTAATTCCACTTTTGTACAATATCTGAGGTAAATTTGACACTACTAATCCATAAAATTAATAACAATTTTAACATTACAAATACGTATTCATCAGTGTTTATTGAAACTTATAAAATATTATTTTATTCAAACGTATAAATATACTTCACTCAAACCTTTAAATTAATATTTTATCGAAACGTATAAACCATTGTTTTACTCAAACGTATAAACCAGTGTCTTATTCAAACGTATAAACCAGTGTTTTATTCAAACGTATAAACCAGTGTCTTATTCAAACGTACGGTGTTTTTAATATAAGCGGTATTTTTTTAAACGTATAAATCAATATTTTATTCAAACCTATAAATCAATAATTTATTTAAAAGTATAAATAAATATTTTATTCAAACGTATGTTGTTGTTGTTTCTTATCCCACTTGGCTGGCCAAGCCCACGAGCCCATATGGACTCACGATTGAAGGGGAAGGAAGCAGCTTCTGTTGTGATGGAGCACCCGTAGGTAGAAGCCTGACTTTTGCTCCGTGACGCTCTCACAGTCATAGAAAGACCGGGACCTACGGCTTAAAGTGGATTCCGAACCACTACAAACATCCATATTCGAAACCTGTGGCACCGAGCGCCAGAGCGCTAGACACTCGGCCATTCAGGTCCCAAATTTGCCAACGGCACGCAGTGTTCCCAGGTGGTCACCCACCCAAGTACTGACCGCGCCCAATGATGCTTAACTTCGGTGATCTAACGAGAACCGGTAAATTCAGCATGGTACGGCCGTTGGCTCAAACGTATAAATCAGTATTTTATTCAAACGTAATAATCAGTATTCATTCAAACGCATTAGCCAATATTTTATTCTAATGTATAAACCAGTGTCTTATTCAAACTTATAAACCAATGTCTTATTCAAACGTATATATCGATATTTTATTCAAACGTGCAAATCAATATTTTATTCGAATGTATAAACCAGTATTTTATTCAAAAGTACCTTCTGTAAAAGTATATCCAAACAAAAATTTGAAGTCATAAAGAAGAATAAAAATTTTATTCTTTTATATTTATGAAATAATGAAGTTTAAATAAATATTTACTGAGCTTTATAATACAACGTTCCTTAATTGCGTTCCTAAAAAAATGACACTAATTCTTTTTGAAGGGGAGATAAAATAGTAATAATACATCAAACCTCGTTTCTTTCTTTTTCAAAATTTATTTTAGCATTTAAGAATATAGTTTTATTTTTTTAATTATGCGAGTATTTTTCAGTGCAATGTTTTTATTTGGTAATTATAGTGTTTGTCACCGTAATGTACTATATGAAAGGCTTGAGGCAACGTTATAACAAGCTCGAAAAACAGGTTCGAAATCTTTTCGGAATTTTAGGTAAAAAAAAAAAAAAACTCTTCACGTTTATCATCAACGTACATTTAAACATTATCTTTTTAATCAAAAATGTTTTTAATGACTAATTATTTTTAAAATTCATATGAAAATTGCGAATTAATCTTGTTATTTGAAATTTAAAAGAGCGATACATTAATTTATTTAATATACGTATATACAGGGTGATTATAATTACTTACCCACTTTGAAAATACTGTACAAAAAGAACCACTCATCACAATGACTTCAAATTTAAACTGAAGAAACTTGGGGAAGGGGAAACGGCACGGCATTCAAAAAAACGGTTCCGCTGATTTTTCCTATCCAATTGGATCTTACCATGGTAGATGGGTTTTCCACAAACAGTGTCACAACTGCTGAATGACTTGGAAGATAGTTTTTCAGTCAAAAAACTGAAACAATCACGCACATTTGAACACTACAGTTGGTTTAACGTGCAACTCATGTCAAATACGTTGTCATTTCGATTCAAAATTCACTTTCTTTATGCCGCTTACAGCGCCATCTATTAATACACTTTGAAATTGGTTTTGGATGCTGTACCGTTTCCCTCTTCTTCAAGTATCTTCAGTTCAAATTTGAATTCATTGTGACGAGTGGTTCTTTTTTACAGCAGTTTGAAAGTGAGACTTTAAATATAATCCCCCTGTATAATATATATATAATCTTAGAATGTGGTAATTTTTAATTTAATCGAACTTCATAATTAGTTAATCAACAATAGTTCCTTTTTTTCTTGCTGTACGTTGAGTGGCCTCTTGTTTTAGTTATGGAAACACTGAACAGATTATTGATAACATTGACTTCTAGGAGGACTTTTAGGGGAAATTGCATCGCATTTGCATATTGTATGGTATGAGGGAAAACGGAAAATCCTCTTCAGGCATCTTGACTATGTATCGAAGTTTATTCAGGCTGTCCATGTCGTAATCGTCAAGTTTCCTCGTTTTTCGGAAGCAGAGACTGAGTAATAGCTGTGACTTATTGGATCAATTTATTTAGACTTTAGAAATAATATATTGCTGCACGGATTGTTATTGTATTCTTCAGCAGTGTTAGCATACATAAATAAGTGGAAACGAATTCGACTACAATAATAACATTAAAGATTATGAATTTATGTTTCTTGGTTCATTAAAATGAAGAAAAAACATAATTACAGATTGTCCAGTTTTTAAAAAATAATAATTTTATCATTCCAACTAAGTTGGACTCAAGTGAAAGGACTTTAAGAAAAACTTTAAGAAAAACAACTGAATTCTGTATATTTTTAATTAAAAATTCTGATACTTTTTTCCTGAATTGGAAATATGCTTAATGATATTAGAAGTAATAACCAGAATGTTTTTTTTAAGATAAAATGATTAAACACTTATTTTTAATGTGTATTTCGAGTTTCAATTTCTAAATTAAAAATATATTTATTAAATTTTTAATTTTATATTCTTGCACACAATCATATATTATCCATATGTGCATTTTATTAAATATACATATTTGTATTATTATTTAAAGTTTTCTAAACAAATACAAATGTATTATTATAATTGTATAGATATTTTCTTAATTTTCAAGTACTAAAAAAAAATATGGGGACAGATACGTAAAATTACAGTAAGATAACATAATAGTGATTCGGAAAAAAACATGTCACAATGGTATTCGATGGAGGCCGATTCCCTCTAACAACGAGGAGGTGTCAAGCAGATTAACCTTGAAAGTCGTTCCAACAAGCATAATCTTCTGATACATAGAGCAAACGCTGATGTTGCTAGGTGGTCTTAAGAGTTACGATAATACAAGTTTCTTCACAGTAAAAAGAAGTAAAAGATGTTTGGTATAATTTTTCAGATTGAAAAACTTAATATTTTTTTTCTTCTTCATCATTTACTATCATTTTGGTCCACCATGGTGCAACAGCCCCATAGTGGTCCAAGGCCGTCTGTCTACTGGCAAATTTCAGGACAGGAGCTGCTTTCTTTTTGCGGCGTAGGGTTATCAGTCCAACGCTCTGCAGTCATATTGGACCGGGACCTACGGTTTAAAGTGGATTCCGAACCTCTACAAACATCCATGGCACCACCCGCCCTCGAACCCGAAACCTGTGGCACCGAGTGCCAGAGCTCAAGTCACTCGGCCATCAGGTCCCATATTTTTTCCTAGCACTAGAAAATTTATAAGAATATCTACATAATTATAACAAAATACATTTTTATTTATTTAGAAAACTTTAAAAATTAACATAACTATGTATATTTAAAAAATATGCATATAGATAATATATGATTTTGTGCAAGAAAATGTAATTAAAAATTTAATAAATATATTTTTAATTTTGAATTTGAACCTCGAAGTATATATTAAAAAATAAATCTCAAGGCCACTTTACCTTAAAAAAACATTCGGGTTACTTCTAATATTATTAAGCATATTTCCAATTCTGGAAAAAAAGTATTAGAATTTTTAATTAAAAATATACAGAACAGAACTCAGCTGTTTTTCTTAAACTTGAGTCCAACTTAGTTTGAATGATGAAAATTATTATTTTATTTAAAAAAAAAAAAAAAAAATGGACAATCTGCAATTATTTTTTCTTCATTTTAATGAACCAAAAAACTTAAATTCGTTGAAGTTCTTCGCAATTATAAAATATTTCATATTTTTTCCTGGAAGGAACTCCTGTACACAAGAGAATCATTTTAATTTGGACCCGAATTCCAGTTAATTAAAATGATATGAAAGCAGACTTATTTCACTTCTCTAATGCTGTTTCATCAAGAAAATTAAAAACGGAAGGGGATAAAATAATTCTGTCACTCATATTTTTTTCTAAATAATTAATTTGGACGGTATATTCTCCAACATTAAAATTTTATCCCAATACTTTAAAACTAGAAACAGTTTTATTAAAATGAAACCACCGCAATATTATTCGTTATTGTGGTTTTTTTTCATGCCAGTATGAAAGAAATCAACTTCACGTACCTTAGTTTTTCTTTCTATGTTAAATTTTATACGAATCTACTTATACAGCTTTGTCTGCGCGGTTTAGCAGGTTTGAATTTTACTACTGTATCCAAAAATTAAGACCAATTGTATATTTAAAATTCGCGGAGCTTATAGAATTTCATTTTTTTTTCTTTTTTAGGTTACTGACACTGTCCTTGACATTTGTGTGAAATATGACGTCGAAATATCCATTAGTATTTGAGTTACGCTTGGCGTTGTGAGACGCTAAAACTGATTCTGGCGATTTTTGAAATTCCCGAATGAATTGAGCAAAGAATTTGCATTCAATTTTGTTTGCAGAAACGTATAGAATGTTGCAGAAGGCCTTCGGTGAGCATTCTTATATTGGAAAGAAATGTTTTCAAGTGGTGTAAACAGTTCAAAGAAGGCAGAGAACGCTTTGAAGACGAAGAGTTCTCTGGTCGACCATCCACTTCAACCGACGAAGCTCACGTCCAAAAAATTAAAGATTTGGTATTTGCAAACCGTCTATTTACATTTAGAGAAATTGCTGAGGATGTTGGAATTTCAAGAGGATTGGTCAATTCCATTTTGGGCCACAAACGCTTCATATCTCGATTGGTACCGAAAACACTCAATGCGCCAGCTCACACTGCATGGATTCCTCGCGACTTTTTTGCCAAAAATGAAACCCGTATCGTTCCACAACCACCCTATTCACACCGTGTGACTTCTGGTTATTTCTTAAACTTAAAAGACCACCCCGGGGACACCGTTGCGAGTCGATTGAAGAGATTCAGCGTGAATAGTCGAACGCTTTGAAGGTCATTCCTGCCGATGATTTTTAGCGTGTATTGAGGATTGGAAAAATGATGGCATAAGTTCGTCGTGTCCAGAGGAGATTACTTTGAAGGCGATGAAATAAATTTGGATGAATAAATAAGAGTTTTTAAAAAAAAAGTAATTGGTCTTGCTTTTTGGGCACAGTAGTACACATAGATAATATACGATTTTGTGCAAGAAAATGTAATTAAAAATTTCATCAATACATTTTGAATTTTGAAATGGAACTTCGAAGTATATATTAAAAATAAATGTTAAAACTTTTTACCTTAAAAAAAAAAAACATTCCGGTTATTACTTTTAATATTATTAAGCATATTTCCAATTCAGGAAAAAAGTATCAGAGGTTTTAATTAAAAATATACAGAACTCAGCTGTTGAGTCCAACTTAGATTGAGTGATAAAAATCATTATTTTATTTAAAAAAAACAAAAAAACAAAAAAAAAAAAAAAAAAAAAAAAAACTGGACAATCTGCAATTATTTTTTTCTTCATTTTAATGAACCAAGAAACTTAAATTTGTTCCAGTTCTTAGCAATTATAAAATATTTTTCATTTT